AGAGGCGGCGGCCGCCGCCGCGGCGTCGTCGGCCTGCGCAGCTCCCTCACAGGAGGCCCAGCCCGAGTGCAGTCCAGAAGCCCCCCCAGCGGAGGCGGCAGAGTAAAAGGGCAAGATTTTTTGAGATAATCGAAGAACTTTTCTCCCCCCCCCCAGTTTGTTTGTTGGAGTGGTGCCAGGTACTGGTTTTGGAGAACTTGTCTACAACCAGGGATTGATTTTAAAGATGTCTTTTCTTATTTTACTTTTTTTTAAGCAGCAAATTTTGTTTTTAACCACCTACCCACAGATCCCATCTCAGATCATTCTGTTACCACCATTCCAACAGGTCGAGGAGAGCTTAGTTACCTTCCTCTGCCTTGTTTCTCTTTTATTTTTATTTTTTGCATCAGTATTAATGTTTTTTGCATACTTTGCATCTTTATTCAAAAATGTAAACTTTCTTTGTCAATCTATGGACATGCCCATATATGAAGGAGATGGGTGGGTCAAAAAGGGATATCCGATGAAGTGATAGGAGCCACGATGGAGAAATTTAGTGGTGCATAACATTGCCAAGATAATGTACCACTAGAAAGGATGGTGTAAAGGCTTAGTCTTTTTTTTTTTTTAAAGAAAAGTTATTACGATGTATTTTGTGAGGCAGGTTTACAACACTACAAGTCTTGATTAAGAAGGAAAGTGGAAAAAAAAAAAAAGAAACACCAATACCCAGATTTTTAAAAAGATCATAGTCTTAGGAGTTCATTTAAACCATAGGAACTTTTCACTTATCTCATGTTAGCTGTACCAGTCAGTGATTAAGTAGAACTACAAGTTGTATAGGCTTTATTGTTTATTGCTGGTTTATGACCTTAATAAAGTGTAATTATGTATTACCAGCAGGGTGTTTTTAACTGTGACTATTGTATAAAAACAAATCTTGATATCCAGAAGCACATGAAGTTTGCAACTTTCCACCCTGCCCATTTTTGTAAAACTGCAGTCATCTTGGACCTTTTAAACACAAATTTTAAACTCAACCAAGCTGTGATAAGTGGAATGGTTACTGTTTATACTGTGGTATGTTTTTGATTACAGCAGACAATGCTTTCTTTTCCAGTCGTCTTTGAGAATAAGGAAAAAATCTTCAGATGCAATGGTTTTGTGTAGCATCTTGTCTATCATGTTTTGTAAATACTGGAGAAGCTTTGACCAATTTGACTTAGAGATGGAATGTAACTTTGCTTACAAAAATTGCTATTAAACTCCTGCTTAAGGTGTTCTAATTTTCTGTGAGCACACTAAAAGCGAAAAATAAATGTGAATAAAATGTACAAATTTGTTGTGTTTCTTTATGTTTTGATAAAATACTGAGACTTTGAGGTTCTAGTTTCATTTTGAAGAAGATCTCGCATGCCATCAAGAGTAAATTTTCTTGTGGTTTTTAATCTGAAGTTTTCAAACTCGGAAATTTGTAATCAGTAGTATCAGATTACGTACAGGAATATTTTACAACATTCCATGTCAAATCTGTTACCATTTATCTGCATTTAGTTTTCATTTAAAAATTGAACAATTATTTTTATTGTAGTTAATAGCATGTCAGGATGAATCACTTAATACAAAAGTGGTATGACCCAAAGACTCTTTAAATGTCTTATGTGAAAATGTCATAAAACTACATTTTTTGTTGTTGTCATGCAGATCCCAAAACAAATTTATACTGAATGAGAGTCTATTTAATCCAAACTGCAGGTGGGTCATGAAAAGTGACCGAATGTGTTTCAAAAACCGATGGTGTATTACCTGCCATTGTAATTGCTTAGTGCTTGGCTAATTTCCAAATTATAGCTTAGAGTACGCATTATACTTAGGAAAACAAGCTTATGTAAAGAAGTAATGGTGGTGAGTGGACGACTTTGTCAGTTTATGGGCCTTTAGTACTTGCCTCAATTCAATAGTTGCAAGCATTTTTTTTTTAATGAAAGTAGTGTGTTAGCATCTTGTTATTCAAAGGAAAAGATAGAGAATAAATTTCCTTGTATAGTAATAATTCTTACTAGTTTACTTTCTTTGCTCTTTACCATCTGTAACTGGATTTATTTTCTTCACTGGACCCTAAACTGAATGGAATTTTAAGATAAAGATGGGTATCAAATATCATTATTTCACTAAATGCAAAGAAAAGCGATAATGCACAACTGCTTTGCTGTTTTTGAGCAGTGTGCCTTGTAGGGTTCACAATAAGTCAGTAGTGAACCACGTTTGTAATAACTGAATGTCAAATCTTAAACTCATTAGAAAAATAAATTAGCTTTTGACATACGGTTTTAATTGGAATAATGGATTATAAATAATAGTTCATGACCTCTTTACCCTCCCCACTATTACTCTCCCCACTAATAAAATCAAATAACACTTGGAGGAGTGTGTAATTTTAGTTGGTGTTTCTTGATCTTGGAGGATGTTTGAAAGTTAAAAGTCAAGTCTGGTAACCCAAGGACCGCTTTATGGGGTCTTCCACCTTACCAACTTCTCAAATACCCACTTGGACAAGTATAGCACTTGGTATGTGGTAGGACTCAGAAAAAAAATAGATTTTAAAAAGTAACTCCTGAGTAGTCAAAAATACTATGTAGCAAACTATATTACTAGGTTTGTTTTTTAACAGCTGGAATTTATTAAGATGCTTACTTTGACTTTAATCATTGCTTAAAACACTTTGGGTGGTATTGATGGAGTGGTGGGTTTTCCACCAAATGATTAAGTGAAATTTGACATATATCTTTTCATCCAAAGTTTTGTACATCACATTGTTTTCTAATGGAAAAATGTTAATATGGCTTTTTGTATTACTAAAATAGCTTTGAGATTAAGGAAAAATAAATAACTCTTGTACAGTTCAGTATTGTCTATTAAATCTGTTTTGGCAGTATGTATAATGGCATTTGCTATGGTTATAAAATAATTCCTCTGGATTATAATAATCATTTGATCCAGTTCCTATTGCTTGTAAAATAAAGTTTTACCAGTTGATATAATCGAGCTTGCTAAAATAGGATTTTTTACAAATTTAATTTTAAAATGCAAGTTTTAGAGAAATTTTTAAAATCTTAAGTGTTGATGGTAAGTATAACTTATTCAATTTAAGGAATTTAGAAGGTATGCTTAATACCATACTTAGGATATAAAATTATATCCATTGAAGGTGAGTTACAATGCTCACAAGTCAAATAAAAATTTTAATGATAGAACTTGATAATATGTTTGAGAAACAATGTAATTTATTTATATTTCCCCTCATATGAATATAAACAATAAAATTCTGCAGTTAAGGTTAAGGATTTGGGGGAAGGGTGCTTTTTGCTCTTATATATTTTAGGTAGGTCCAACTGGGAGGGGCATGTAGTTTAACATAGCCCAAGTTAGCTTTGAAAATTAAAAAATTAGTTAAGTAACAGGGCTATTAGCTTTAATCTTTCCTTTAATCATTCACTGTGCAAATTGAGCATTTTTTTCCCTCTCCACTTCCCAGCTATATGAAAGTGCTTAAAGCAGGGTGTAGCAAACGAATTTTAAAATGCTTTCAAAAGCTCCAGTCCCTGCTGGGTATTCAAGTTCTAGCACTCCTTTAAATTACACCCAACAATGCTATTTTTAAAATGGAAAATAAATACTTCTAAAAGATGTGAATGTTAACCATGTTTCATGTTCCTGAAAAAGTGATAAATTCCTGATCCTGAAATACTCCTATCTATAGTTCTTCCTCTCAACTGTTCAACATCAACTTTAAAACAAACCAAAGTTTCTATTCCATCATAAGATCTAGCAGCTGAAAGTATGTAAAATAATTCCTTAAAAATTTTTAGAAACTATCCTGATAATCTCAATTCTAGTGTTTTTTTTTTCTTTTAATAAATTTATTTATTTTATTTTTGGCTGCGTTGGGTCTTTGTTGCTTCTCGGGCTTTCTCTAGCTACAGAGAGTGTGGGCTACTCTTTTGTGCTGCACGGGCTTCTCTCATTGCAGTGGCTTATCTCGTTGCGGAGCATGGGCTCTATGTGCGCGGGCTTCAGTAGTTGTGGCACGGGGCTCAGTAGTTGTGGTTCACGGGCTCTAGTGCGCAGGCTCAGTAGTTGTGGTGCACGGGCTTAGCTGCTCCGCGGCATGTGAGATCTTCCTGGACCAGGGCTCGAATCCATGTTCCCTGCATTGGCAGGTGGATTCCTAACCGCTGTGCCACAGGGGAAGTCCTCAGTTCTAGTGTTTTGATAAAATTAGAGCATAACACTTTTTCGTACTACTAGTAAATGAGAAATGAGAATATCTTTGTCAATTGATCCTTTTACAATTTCTCTCATTTCCAGGGAAAGGTGAAAGGCAACAGGATTACTCATCACTTAAAATTTCAATGAATATAACATTTCAGTTGAATTTGTTAAGTTGGCATTACAGATTGTCTTCCTAACAAGTGGGCAAGTGTTCCTTAGTTTTGAAATGTGTGTTATGGACTGGATAAAGTGCTAGAATTCTGTACCTGTGTAAATTAGTGGGGGTGAGAAAAGGAAAGGGATCCTTGGGGAGAGTTATAAATCAGAAGTCTAAGAAAGCCTTCAAAACAAGTCTTAATTCAAATGACACATACCTGTATTTTGGGAAAGCACCATCCAATAAAAATATAATTCTAGCCATATATGTAATTTTAAACTTTTTCAGTAACCATAATTTTTTAAAAATGAGGAACAGATTAAATTAACTTCAATAATCTATATATCCAAGATATTTGAACATGTAATAAATATAAAAATTACTGAGATAGTTTATATATTTTTTCTTACTAAGTCTTTGAAATTCAGTGATTTTAGACTAATAGCACATCTCAATTTGGACCAGCCACATTCCAAATGCTTACTGGCCACATGTGGCTACCATATTGGAGGGCACATGTCTGGAGAATTAAGGTGTGAGAGTCAAGGAATGATTAGAAGTGTTGGGCTACAGACTATTTGCAAAGTGTAGCTTTGTAATTAATTCTATGAGTTTCAAGGGCTTAGCTTTTGAGTCAACATTTGTTTCTCTACTCAACATCAAGTTTTTTCTAGATTTCAAACCATTTTAAGCAG